AAATGAAAAACGACATGTATAGGGGCATGACCCCGTTGCCCCATGAACGAGGGCAGTGGGAAAAAGCACCTGAGTGGGTTATTGGAGATTCAAAAGCCCGCGAAAGGAGATAGAGAGACATGCCAATTTCCTGCAGATTTGCTGTGTTTCTGCTGCACCTGTTCGGTTCATATGTGCAGACGGCAGAGGCGGCGGCGAAGGTAGGCAGGCAGGTAAGCAGGCAGGCACAGACAGGAAGACAGACAGATGGGCACAGAAGGACCATCGGACGGCTAAACGGCTAAACCAATACACGCCGACAGAGACGATGCGAGTTTTCTTTTCTCTAGGAGCCCCGAATCTTGTTAAGTAGATGCATAGGCCCTGGCAGGAAGAGGCCTTCGGCCCTTGCGATCAATACGACTCACGGGCTCCGTGGGGTCGCGCCTCGCCTGAGAGCAAGGCTGGAGCTCGCTAAATCCCAATTCCGTCGTAGATTGCATTGGTCCACCTGTCTTCCGTAGATCAGAAGAATTGTGGTCAACCACCCAGCAATCCTCTTCTCTGAGACCCAGGAGGCTTGACTTTCTCCGGAATGGTAAGTTCTAAAATCGAAAGAGTCTGAAACCTGGACGCGAACTCCTAGTGCTACGGGTTGCCAGCAAGAGGGTTTCGGGCTTCGAGGGTTTAGGGCCCTGAAGAACAGGACGATAGCAATTCTCAACACGCCTGTCCTGAATCCCCTTAGAGATCCGAGAACTCCCATGCAAAGGCGAAGCCAAAGCCCTCAAACTCCCCCAAGCCCTCCAAGCGCCGAGCCCTAGTCCGTTTCTGGTAACCCCAAACCCGAAACCCGAAACCCTAAACCCTCTCCCTGGTGACCTCCCAGGTTGAGAACCTTTCGACTTCAGGGGCCTTCCTTCGAATTTCCCAGCAAGGCCTCTCGGTCTGGACACACGAGGAGTTATCGTTCTCTTCGCTTTGAAGATGGTCCAGCATGTGCACAGGCAGTTACACGCACATGCACACTCACACTATATGTAAAATCTAGATGTGAATATAAATGTAAGTACATAAAACTAAAGAGACATACATCTACAAATAGAGCATTTGTGCATTGTGAATATAGCAAGAGGAATCACTGTTTTACAACTTTACAATCTATGCGTGAATTTTTTCGTTTGTGGCCCAGGCGGGGGAGATGTCACGGGCTTCTTGCCTTGTGGCGAAGTGGCCTCATCTCTCGGCGAGCAGGCCAGGGCGGAGGGCTGAGAGTCGTCCTTCGCTCGGGTGTTCATGGGTAGTTTATACGTAGGGTTATAAGTAAGGTAACTGTAACTTTTGACCCATATTAGGGGATACTTGCTTCTCTTGCGGACGTTTTCGCAGTGCGGTGAAGGGTTCACTGCAACCCCAACGGCGACTCAAGCTCCACCCGAACTTCAACGGCAGATTGGCGGCCTCCATGTGCTCTCCACCGGCGCTGGGCGGCTGGCAGTGACCACGAGGCACACGACGTCTGGGCGTAAGAAGGAGAGCTCCTTTTTCTTCTGAGCACCAGGGACCTTTTTTTTGATCGGGCTTGCGGCCAGCGAAGGCCCCCTTGTACGAGTTCCGCCTTAGCTGCCTTCGCGAATGTGTCTTCCCAACTGTGGCTTCGGGGAGTGGCACGCCTGCATCGCAGCGTGAAGCGTTGTGAGACTGCCTGCGAGTTTGTTTGACTGGTATGCTTCGATTCCAAAGAGACTTAGGCAGTGCAGCAAACCACTGCAATCGCGATTTTTGTCGTCCTGCAGCCTCCAGGCCAGGCCGCGAGATTGCAAAGCAGAAAAGTTGGGATCGGGGATGTGTGGGGATGTCTGGGGCTTAGGGTGTGACATCTGTTTCAGGTGGTGGCACGGCCCCTTGGCTGAGAAATCGCTCAAAGCCTGCAGCGAGACGACTGGCCCGGATTCAGGCGCTCAAAGGCTTCGTTCACGTTTCTGAACTGGATGAACGTGCGGTGGGCGAAGTTTGCGACGCTCGGATAATCAAGCCTTTGCGACCGGATGCCTGCTCTGCACTATCCTGCCCTTCCCAGGTGGGGGATTCAATTCGTGTCCGGGTTCTGGACACCAGCCGTGGATACCTCGAGCTGTCACTGAAGCCGCACGAGGCTGCAGCCTGATTTTGAAGTCCCACGAGTTTGATGTAAGGTTCCGACCCTGCAAGTGGCAGACGGTCCGAGAACTTATGTACAGCCGAGCTTGAAACCCCATCCAGAATGCTGTGGGCTGTTTCTCATCTGGATGCGCTTGAAATCTAGCTCTTGAAAATGGAGTGCGCTCTTGTCTCTTTGCGAGGTCTGCGACCTATCTAGGTTGTGTCCAGTTCCTCGACCTACTCGGCCTCTTCTTGCCTTGCTTTGTTCTCATTCGTCGTCGCTGGGACCATTGTGCAACCCGTGCAACGGGTCTCTTTGGCGTGTGTCGTCAGCGACGGCATGTCTGCATGTGTTCAGGCACGTCGCATTATCCTTTGCAGTTGTGTTTACCGCCATTAGTCTGGTCAACGCCCGCCTGCACTGTTTGGTTCAATACTGAACCGGTCAGTATTGAAGTGGAGCTGGTGTCATGAAAGTCTTGCTTCAACGAGTCAATTGCTGATGTGCTCTAAGAAGTTGCCGAATCACAAATTGAACAAGCTAGTGGCTGAAGCAGCTATGTGCGCCGAGTGAGGTTGAGAGAGTTGCAGCACACACCGCACTGCAGGTTTTGTCGAATCTCCTGCAAGGTGTAGCTGAAACAAACCGACAAGCACACGGGGGTTCCAAGTGCCGCAGCAATTCGCACACATGTTTGATGTCAATGCTTCTTTGACTACTAGCGATGCACGAGGGGGGGTCTTGCAGGCTTGGCCAGCTTTCAGCACATGCGGCGCCCCGTGCCAGCTCGGTGGTGCAAGCCTTGGAGGATTCCGGACAAGGAAGGGCCCTAGACTCTAGACCCTTGAGCTTTCACGCCAAGGCTGGTGCAAAGCAACCCGGGCACTGAAGGGTGAGGAGTGGCATCGTGAATTCATGCGAGAGTCTGGCAATGTCATGCAAGTGCGGTTCAGGTGCGATCATGCATGGCACTCCGAAGCTGAAAGTTTAGTGCCAAGCCGAAGCCTCCGACCTGTCCCTGCGACGCCATGCTGTCTTCCAACGCCTTCACGGTGATCAGCCCAACCATCCCGCAGGCTCAGGTCGCTCCCGTCGAGCCGAAGGTCAAGAGCAGCGATGCAGGTGCGGGCGCTGCCGGAACCTGGTTCTCGGGCACTGGTGCGGCTTTGGCAGCCACGGGCCTCGTCACCGCTTCCGCCCTGCGCCGCAAAGCACGTAGCACGCGGGCCAAGAACGGTGTCTCGGGTCTCAGCAGCTCCGTCGGCGAGACCTACTATCGCGACCAGCTAGTGGCGTGCCGTGCTCACCTCGGCGGCTTGGAGGTCCGGGCGACCCTGGAGGAGACCGACCAGCACGTCCAGGCTCGCGGCTGCGGGGGGGCTTTCTTGCGTGCCTCGGGGCCTCGGCGCCCTTTCGCCGGCGTCACGGCGAAGCGCTCGTCAGCTAGACATGTCCAAGATGTCGCTTTCTCTCTCTCTCGTAGGTTGAGCTGTTGGCATCAACACTTCAGGATGTGCAGAACTTCGCCAAGCAAGCACTGGCCGGAGCTGCAGCAGCAATGGTTTTCACTTCATCCATGGAGTCTGCTGTGGCATACCCCATCTTCGCACAGCAGAACTACGCCAACCCGCGCGAGTACACTGGCAAGATCGTTTGTGCAAACTGCCACCTGGCATCCAAGCCCATTGAGGTGCGGATTCCGCAGGCAGTGTTGCCTGACACCGTCTTCAAGACTGAGGTGGAGATCCCAGCCAAGTATGCCAAGCGCCGCCAGCCCATTGCAGATGGCTCCAAGGCGCCCATGAACATCGGCGCCATCGCCGTGATGCCGGAGGGCTGGAAGTTGGCTCCCAAGGATCGTCTGCCGAAGCCGCTGAAGAAGGAGATGAAGGGCCTCGCCTGGCAGGCCTACAGCAAGGAGTATCCCAACATCGTGGTCGCAGGACCTGTGCCTGGCGAGACCTATGAGAAGATGGTCCTGCCAGTCCTGGCACCGGATCCCAACACCAACGACAAGGTCCTCTTCGGCAAGGGCATCTTCTACTTCGGCGGCAACCGTGGTCGTGGCCAGGTCTACCCCGAGGGCAACCAGAGCAACAACAACCAGTTCTTCGCCAACGCAACAGGCACGGTGAGCGCTGTCGATGGCTTGAAGGTGACGATCACCACCCCGTCTGGTGAGGCCAAGACCGTGGAATGCTTGCCTGGCGCCGACATCGTGGTGCAGGTGGGTGATGAGGTGGAGAAGGACGAGCCAATCACCACCAACCCCAACGTGGGAGGATTTGGCCAGGAGGAGAAGGAATGCATTCTGCAGGATATGAACCGGGTCTACGCCTACTGCGCCTTTGCCTTCTCATGCTTCATTGCTCAGCTCTCCTTCGTCCTCAAGAAGAAGCAGTTCGAGAAGGTGCAGCTCGCTGAGGGCTTCTGAGGTAGAGATGTTTTGGTCTCCTGGCTCCTGCCGAGCTGGGAAATGTAGAGAGTTTTTTCCGTTTCTCAAGCATGTCCCGGAGTGAAGTGACAAAAGACAACAGCCCGCCTGTGAAGAGTGAAGAGGGCTCCTTTCGTGAGTTCAGCTAATTTCTTGTGGTCGTAGCCGATGCGCACTTGCAGGACAGATGGGGTCAAGCGTGTGGCGCACTCAGGCTGCAGGTCGTGCATCTGGTTGCAATGTAGTCGGAATCGAGGTCCCCGCTGGCCAACGCCAGCTTGCATGACCAATCGCGGAGCTCACGTTGCCTGAACCCGCCTGAGTCAGAAGGCGAACGAGAAAAAACACTTGAGGTGCACAGCGGTACTGGCCCCGGCACCTGGCCATTGCGCCGCGACGCCATGCAGAAAAGACGGAAGTACGCGTCTGGTGCCCTGCGCGCAGGTTCTCGGACATGCACAAGAAAGATCCGCGGCCAAGGGCTCGGCTTTGGGCATCAAGCTCTTTCAAGATGTGGAGGGCCTGTGAGACGAAGGTGGCAGATGCTGCAGAACTCCATTGAGACTGTTGAGGCGCTCGGGAGTTTGGCTCAAGAGCCCCCTGCTGCGAAGCGCTCCGCAAGGCGGTTCTCAAGGACCTCGGGACCTTCAAACCCTGGGTGCCACCCACGGTGAAGGCTTCCAGTGTGGCAAGCGATTTCTGCTGGAACTCATTGAATAGTTGAGGTCTTCAACGAAGAAGGCTTCTCAGGATCCAAAACCAGGGCAAAGTGATCGGACTCTCACGTTATTTGCCGCAGGTGCACCTGGAAGACCTTTGCAGAGCAAATGCTGATTAGAACTGGTCAATTTGACCACTCCAATATCGACAAATCTCTTCAAATTCCATCAAAACTGGTTGGGGTTTGCTCAGGGGCGCTTGGGGATGGATCGGGGGCATGTCTTTGGGTTTTCATGGCAAGTCGTTTGATTTGCCTTTTTTTCTCGCAGACAGGGGGGGGGGGGCGGTTTTCAACACTGTCCGCGTGCGCAAAGATATTTGTAAAACATGTTGGCGGATACTCATCACAACCCTGCGTTTTCTCATCGGTTCAAAGTTTAGTTGTGCGGCTAGCAAATTTTCAGTCTTTGTTCGTGTGATTTCCTTTTTCGTTGCAGCACCGCCAGCGGAATTGAGTTGTCCTGTGGGATGTGCAGAGTGGGTTTTGCAAGGTTATGGTTTCGGTTGTTCAGGATGGGATGAAGGTTTCATCAACCTTCACATGTTGAGGAACTGCTGAGAGAAATCGATTTTGGGTGACTCAGTTGCAGAACAAAGACGAGTCGTGGGTCTTTTGATGCGATGCTCAAAATCCAGCAGTGAGACAACTCAAAGCAATGGTAAACGCAGGTGAATTAGAAGACAACTGTACAGAACTGCTTAGCAGGACCCGACATAGCCAGAAAAGGACAGATCGCCTGGGTCGGCTTTTGTGTGTTAAGGAGCCGCGAAACTCAACACCCCTGATCCTTGAAAAGCTTGAAGCTTAAGTGGACGTAGTCACCCTCAGAGGTGTTTGTCTGCGCTTCCTTCTGCTCTGCTCCCTTTTCCAAAGGCGCCGGAGAAGATCTCCTACAAAGGGGTGCGGCGAAGAATGTCGCCAGGAAGGCGGGTCAACATCAAGCGTGCGGCCCAGTAGCCAGGTCGTTTCATCCACGAGGGTATTTCGTTGCGGCCGTGCAAGAAGCAATCAGTGAATGAAACAGAGTTCCGACTCGAGTGGCAAAGGCCCGAAGTCGAAGGTGGCGAGGTCGAGCCGACGGCTTCATGTGTTGGGCAGACCCATGCAGACCCGATGTGTTCCGTGTCTTGGGCCCTGCACGCTCAACTCTAAGCCTTATAAAAGAGAAACAACGTGTCCTGCTTCGTGTTTGCTGCGTTCTGGCTCAAAGCTCAGCTTCGCGCCGAGCGCACGGCGCCGAGCCGGCTGAGGCAGACGAAAGCTGGAGATGTGGGTCCCAAAATTTGCCAATTATACCAAGATGTTATGATTTTAGGTTAAGTGCGCGTCTCATCGACGTTGCGCTGCTTCCACTGGCGGTGTTGTTGCTCTTGCACCTGCGCTGAAAGAGATGTCGGCTGCTGCTCAGGTGGCGAGGTCATGGCTGCGCCTCTGGCTTTTGTAGGCGGCGAGACGGCTTTGGCAACGCAACATGTTCTGCCCAGCCTGTGTGCATGAATCGGCTCGAGTGTCTGTAGCCAGCCCTGCTATTATATTTGGAGGGATCCTAGGATACAAAGCCCGTGTGTGCCTGTGTGAGAAATGTGTGAGATGTAGAACCTGGCGTGCGGATCGTCCTTCCTTTCCCCAGTCCCAACCTGCAGTGCCGCCATGTGCCGCTAGCATCTGCGGTGTGCTCGTGGCAGCGCTTCAGCGGCGTGCGAGTCTCGCCTCAGCAGGGATGTGCGAGGCTGGGAACGGCAGGTCTTTGGGCTTGGGTTGAACATCGCGGGGTGTTTTGGGCCATCATCGGCCTCCGTCAAGCTTCTCTTTTTGTCTGAAATGTGACCTTCAGATGACCGCTGGATGAACGCAATCCAGCGGACAGATACGGGTCGCAAAGCAAAGGAAAGGCCGGGCAAGAAGAACCCAGAAGGCTGGAAGAGTTTTGCCGCTGGAGATACAGCCAAGGCACAGTCGCTCCGAGTCCTTAATGGGCTTTTGAGACATGTTGAGACGCTGTGACGGCTTCCTGGGAGATGTCGCACCAGAGTTTTGAGAGCCGGCTCTCAATTGCTCTTCCGCATTTCTCCCTTTTGCTGAAGGCAGCCTTGCAATGATCCTTGCTCGGCTGCTGGCTTGCCTTGGGCCAACGGCTCAGTGCAGAACAAGAAGTGTGCAAAATTCGTTTGTTGGTGATGACTCCTCGGCTCGACAACAAGGTGGCTCCCGGGGACGTTGGCATCTACTCAGCCTACTCACCATGGCCGTGACTTGGTGCATGCCGTGGCCTCAGCACCCGCACTCAAGGTTTCAGCCCTGCATACAAGCCCGGTGATTGAAAACTCAGCTGCGTAGGCAGCAGCAAGACGCAGCAGACAGGAATTTCACTTCCTCCTCCGAATGCCAAGGCTGACTTGGATGGCAGTGTCTCCAATGCCGCATCCTCAGTCGATCTGGAAGCGTCTAGACAGCCGCGAAGAACGAGAAGCTACAGCGGGATACCACCGGTTCTGGCAAATTGATAAATCCGACTGTACTTCCTTGGCCAAGGTCACCATTGAGGGCTTCACTTATGGTGGCTGCTTTTCTGCCGATGTCGCTGCTGGAGCCAGCACCTGAGGGCCCTTATCCTGAGTCAGAGGCCTCGGGGCGGATCCTCTAAGGCACTGGGTTCCAACTACACCGTTGCTCCTCTGACAGCGCAGTCGCCCTCGGCTTGTGCAGCTCCCAAGGGTGTTTGAAAGGGGCGGTTATTATAGGCACAAGGGGGCAGAGAGCGCCCCTGCAGGTGCCGATGCCTGTGTCGACTGGGAGGTCTTCCTCGTCGGAGCAGGGAGCTGCTACTGCGCCGAGGTGTCTTAGAGCTCCGAAAAGGGCTGAGCGGCTTTGATCAGCTTTGGTGCCTTTCCTGCGCCAGCCGTCGGATTTCGCCTTGGAGACCTGGAAGCAGCTGGAAGAGACCCTCTGCGATGCGCGGGAGCCTCCGAGTGCGAGTGATGCGAGTGCTGAAGGTGTGTCCCTTCGCCAAAAGCGACGCCCGACCCCCTGTCGAGGCCTTGCGACGCGTGGCCAGACGAGGACTTCGGGGGCCTCGTCGCGTACTTCCAGACGCTGTCCTCGGCCGAGACGAGCCCCCTGCGATGCTTCGGCCTTCGGATTCCAGTCCGTTTTAGGCCTGGTTTCTGCGGTGGCATTTCAGCAAGGAGCCCAGCTTCTAGTTTCCATGACTTATCGTGAACCTCTTGACTGCAGTGGATTTCGGTCATGAGGAGCAAGACAGGATGAGAGAATCTCAAAACCTTCAGATGCGAATGATATGGCCACGCAGCAAATTCGAGGAGAGCTGAGACAGAAGGAGCTTAAAGTCAGGAGCTGGAATGGCATCAGCCAGCGGATTATGGATGAATGCACGTTTCACACCTGGAAGTCGTTATTTCTCGTAGAAGTGTCAGGCGGAAACCTTCAGCTTCTACGAGGTCTTTGATGCCGTGAATGCCGTGGGTCAAGGCCTGCGAATGATTGAGTGTTGCTGTGAGTGGCTGAATAGCTTGCTGGCCAGTCGCTGGCACAGGAACGCTCGACCGCGATCGCGGCCTGTGGTATCAGGTCGTGCTAGTGGCTGGGTTTATCTTAACATCTACTCGCTTCCTCCAGCTGCGGAGCGAGTGAGGTCCAAACTCTGCTTGGTGGACCGCCCGAGCACGCTGGCCTTTTCGAGGCCTAGCTCGCGGAGTGAGGGACCTAAGCCTTAGCAGGCGGGTGCTGGTCCTTCATGGTCCTTCCGTCACAACTGCGAGGATGGCAGCTGGCGCTGGCGTCTTCATGCCAGCTCTGCGGTCACTGGACGCCCGTTGGGACAAAGAGCGCCTCCGTTCTAGGGGCTGCGTTTCTTGTTGAATTTGTCAGGTGCAGCCTTTCCGCTGCACCGCGACCTCGACGAGCCCATAGTGGGCCTTCTCATGGCCGCAGCCTCTGGCCCTGCTGTGACTGTCTTTTTTTTTGCGTGATGTTTGCTGCAGGACTACATGGAGGGGAACCCAAGTGTCCTCGGAACTTCCTATTCTGGCAGTGTGCCACTCGAGAGCATTGAGATAGTCCAGCTAGAACTCTCAGGAACAAAGAAAAAGCAGCTGCCGCTCCGCTGTTTCTGAGGTATACCGCAGCAGCAGGAAGCAGGCTTGCTGCAAACTTGCCCAGACGTGCAATCAAGGATTACCGCAAACGTACGGCTCTTGGTGTCATTGCAAGGAAGCTGCTGGTGATGTGAGGATTATTCTAACTATACTTAGTAGTATTGCTACTACATAAACCCTTGGGAGCCGTTTGGCTCAAGTCTTTTGAGACATCTGGAAGGTACTAGGTAATCGTGTTTGCCAAGATATCATGCTAGCCGTGGTAATCCCAGCATTAAGCAGAGTTGACATGAAAGTCTGAGAGAAGCGCTGCGTAACTCACTTCTCGCTTGTCATCATCCTTGATACCGGCGAAACGTTGAGTCTTGCTCACAAAGCCCAAGATTGTGCCATGACCTCGAGCTTGCTACTCGTGGCGCTTGCATTTCTTACGAACACAGTCTCTCTGCACTCGGCGCCCGTCTGCTCTGCCTATCAGGAAACAGAAGGTGATGCCTTCAACTGCACAGGGCAAGTGTCGGCTGCAGAGACGGAGAAGTTCAGGATGCGGCTCTCAAACACCACCTGGGTCAGGCACTTCAGACTCTTCACCAACATCACTACGATCGTGCCTAACTCCGAAAGTCGCAGGAAATGCCAGGGGGTTCCAGATGTGGATGCAGGACTGCACTATGTGAAAGATGCCGTCCCGATCAGCGAGCAGAACTTTGCCAGGGAAGAGCGAACTTGCCTAGCAACGATACAAACCAGCAGGTTCTTCTGCATACGGGGCACCCAGCCCGAAAGGAGCGGGCTTCTTTCAATTGGGGTTCAGGCCAGTTCCAGTGCGCAACTACAGGTACATGTTGAAACTCAACAAACTTTGGACGATCGGCTCAGAACCTTTTCCCTCGACATTGGTGGCAAGAACGGTCGTGCTGCCTTTCACTTGTGGACAATGCCAGAGGATGACGGGCTGGACCTGTGGCGCTTGCGCTTCAAAGTGCCCGACACGTTCCAGAGAGCACATGTAGGTTATCACGCCTACATCATGCATGAGTCGTCGCCCTGCATAGCCGAAGTGATGAACGCCGGAGGTTGCTTGGATCCTGTCCAGGTCTGGTCGTGTTTCCGGTCCGTGCCAGTATCGTTCCGTGCAGAGGGAAACGCGGCGATTGCCTTGAGTGAGAGCTTCAGCAAGTCTGCGATGATGACAGTCAGCAGAGGCTCGCTCCCACACATTCAGTCAGGCAGGTGGCTGCTCTTCGTGGTATGCAACTTGAGATACTTGAGAACTACCTCGGACCCAGGCTGTCCAGAAGCGCGTCTGGACATTGAGCTAAGTGCCGGGCACGGCCAACTTCGAAAGCTTTGGACTGGGGCTGCAATCATGATCTTGGGACCTGCGCTCTTTCTCTTTTGTGTCAATGGGATGCATTGGCTGACATATACATGCTTGTACACAGTGGGGCCTGAGGCTCCATCTCAATCTCGTTATCGTTTGTGGCCGGTGTTTATGTCGATGCCGAATCGTGGGCATTTGGAGATGGCCAGGGAGAAGCTGAAACGCATCTCCGAGCCCGTGGCCTTCTTTCCTGCCTTGCTTGCTCTTATGGTTGGTGTATTCTTAGCAACAGCTGCCCAGTTTGTCCTGACACATTACGGCTTGATGGTGCGAACGGGGAACAGAGATGTGTGCTTTTACAATGAGAAATGCTACCATCCAGGAGTTGTGTGGGACATTCCTTGGAACCATGTCCTGTCCAACCTTGCTTATATCGTAGCTGGTGTGCATACCATGCTGCAGACTTTCTTTGCAGAGAGCCGGTGCCGGCACTTCATGCGCAACACTCTCCAGGCACTGTTCCGGAGTGTAAATCTAAACCCTCGTGGCTGCCTAAACAGGCAAGAATGGGCTACAATCTTCGATGATGCCGATATCAACAGAAACGGGGTTGTGTCTAGGCGAGAATG